CATTGAGTTGAGACAATTACATTTTTACTGGCCGACACTTACTGCGCTTCTGTAGCGTAGTGGTGTGGTTCCAGCGTTAACTGCGCAAGACCTGAGTTTGAGTCCCGACGCAGAAAATATTTTTTTTCTGTTTGAAAACATTTTTGCATCTTCAAATAGTAGTATAATATAGCGGAGCACTGTTACGTAACGCCAGAAATTCGTGTTCTTGAAGTGCCACTAGTTTATTTAAGAGATTCTAGTTCCCCAAACCTTTTGGCATATTTCTGAATGGAAGTATACATATTTCATTAGTCCTTCATAACGAACGTCAAGTAACGATTTCATTTTCACATGAAGCCTAGTGCTCTATGTTACATAACATTCTTTTAAAAATGCAGTGTTTTTGCGACCATGCCGACTCTTAATTACGCCACTACCACAAGTAAACGTGCTGCAAGGCCGTACTGTTTGGTTTTGTTGGCTACGTGAGGGGAAAAAGCTTACAATGCCAAGTCTAGTGTGAAGAGACCATGAAAACAGGCAACAAGTGGTCCGTCACTATTCTTTTGCAACTAGTTGAAAATATATTCATCCACAGCTTTCATCTCAGCCTATCTTTAAATTACGAGATATATTTTTTAAAGAAATACATTTTTTACGAAACTTTGATGAAAAGACGAAGAATTTTAACAGTGACATTGTAATGACCGAGTCTTAAATGTCTATTTTACGAGTTACAAGGTTGTGTAGTATACTTGTGTACGTAAGCTTCCGCGGCTCGAATCCATGAATTCTCGGCTATCCTGTAGACGCCGCGTCGTTGGCTGGGATGCTGACGTTTCGCCTGACATTTCGCAGGCTTCCTCAGGGCAGTGACACTGCGGCGCTACGCGCCCGTTGATCCTGCACACCCCACACACGAGCATGGTTCACTAATGTCCTTGCGGTCTACTCCCGGTGGGAGCTCTTCCGCGATCTGGTGGCATGGTTTGATTTAAGTCTTATACGCTTTTCGTTGTCCGATGCGGCGTATTTCTTTTTGTTTTATGTCTTGGTCTCTCGTGTGGCTTTGTGCACTTGTTTCTTTTCTTGTGGGTCATCACTTGCAGTTGATCGTTTTTACGTTTGGTTTTCAGCATGTCTTTTTCAAGAGTTCATGTCATTCCCGTTTCGCGTTTGCAAAGTCGAGTTTTTGTATTTTTTTATTTTAGCTTTTTAATGTTTTTTTTACGTTTGGTTTGCATGCAGTTTTCTAGGCCTACTTATTTTAATTTTACAATTGTTCTTTCTTACATCTAACCTAGGCTTTAATTTCTTAACTAATTTTTACAATTTTTGTTATTCTTATATGGTTTCTTTTATATATATTATGTATAGTTTTCTAGTATTGACCTTAATTATTAGCTTAGTAATTAACTTTAAACTTAAACTGTAACTTAACTTAACTTAAATCTTGAATGTAGCTTAACTAGTTCGCTATGATCTAATATTCCTGTGATGTTTATTTACAAGTTTGCTTCTTATGAATTTTAGCTTAACTTACTTAAATCTTGATCGTAGTTAACCTAGAGTTCCTATGATCTAATATTTACACTGTGATGGTTTATTTAACTTTTTTGCTTCTTAACAATTTTACTTAACTTAACTTAACTTAAATCTGATGTAGCTTAACTAGTTCTATGATCTAATATTTACCTTGTGATGTTTATTTAGCAATTTTACAATTTTTGCTTCTGTGTGGGAACGGTGAGGCCGTGGTGTTGCTTGGAGCGGACGGCAGGCAGAAGCGTTGTCGGTGGCCATATACTCTTCTGTGGTTGGCGGCCGGTTTTGAAAAAGCTGCTGAGTCTGCCTGACCTTTTGGGTGTGATGTGGTGTTTGATTTAAGTGTTTTTAGTTTTTGGTTGGTATGTGTTGAGGTGTGTTTGGTATGGTGAGTTCAGTGTATGCCCGTATGGTGCCCACTACCGATATATTACATTGTACTCATACAGACATATTTTTGGTAAAATGTTTGGATTGCTTTTGGGATTTCGTGTAAGTTGTCGTTTGTGTAGTTGAGTGTGTGTTTTGTGTGTTTTGCATTTCTTCCTTGTTTGTTTTGTTTTCTTGTTAGGGGTTTTTGAAAATTTATGTCTGCGGGGAGTTTCTTTAGTGGGTGCGCGGGTTTGTTTGGACAAGTGTATTGCGCATAGCTTTGGAAAGAGGGGGTGGGTGTTCAGATTCGTGAAGATGTCGTGAATTCTTTTCCGTGGGCGAGTTCGTGTAGTGTTGTTGGTGATGGTGTTTTTGGTGTTTTCTGTTTTTGAGTTCGTTTGCAAGGGAATGAAGCCGTGGGTGTGGCGGAAGGCTATTTTAATGAAGTAGTTTTTCTGCGGCGTGAGTAGTTGAAGACTAGTTCTCAGGCGGCTGTCGCCATGCTCGCTGCGTAGAGGCCCGCGCTCACGAATGCATGCGATGGTAGAGGTGGATTTTAATTTTGTCCTTAAGCGGGCTTCGGCTTTTGAAAATGGGGAGAAGAGAATGAAATGGCGTCGGATCATGTTGGTTTCAGCGTGAAGGATATGTGGTTTTCCAAGTCAGTCTCTTGGTCATAATTGTCACTCGAGGTATTTAGTTGTGGTCTTGCCACGGATAGTGTGACCATTTAGGCGGATGGGCGCGACGGTGTGGGCGTTGTGCGAGAAATTTATGTTGAAGAGGGATGGGCTTGGGCATTTCTGCGCGTTAACGTGAGGCCGTTTTCCGCGCTCCAGTTCGTAGCGCATCAGCGGCGGCGCTGTAGTTTTTGGACGCGCAAATGTTATGCGAGAATCTTGACCGAAATGTATTGTCGTGCCGCGTAGACAAAATCGCTCACATCGGCGGTAGTGAAGGTAATGGTTCATTAATAAAATAGGGAAAAGAGAAAAGGGGATAAGCCACAGTGCCTGAGGGAGCGGCGAGATTGGGTCGAGGAGTTGATGTGTTGAGTTTTGGCAGCGGAACAGTGAAACTCTGCGGTGAAGTTAAGTAGCTGGTGAGTAGGTTGAGAATAATTGCGGTACATAGGGGCGAAATTTTTATGTAAGGAGTAGTGAATGAATGGACAGTGTCGGAACGCAATAGGAATAGTCGAAGAAAAGAGCTGGGATAGAGCGAGTGTTCGGTATAATGGTAGAAGATATGTGAAAGGTGAAGCGTTAGAACTTGAGGGCAGAAGGATCGGATTTTTTCCTAAACCGAACTGCGTTCTCGTATTATGCGCGTTCCCGAGGTCGCTTGCGACATTCTTATTGAGAATTTTCTCTGCTAGGATTTTTCGAGGATGGCAGTGCGAGAATGGGGCGAAAGTTTCCGGGAGACGCGAGTTTTCTTGCCCCGGTTTCGGGATAAGCGTTCCGGTCGCGGATTCTTCCACGCTGCGGGGAAATATTGCACAGAAATGCAAGCAGTGTAGATGGCGGCCGAGGAGAGAGGCGCCCTGCGAGGTAGTTGTTTTATCATTGTTGGCTGAAAGTTTTGTCGGGGCGCCAGATCTGTTTGTTTGATAGTTTTTTTAAGTGCGCGCTTACGTGCATCGCTTCATGTGGCCAGTCAGGCCGGGTATTGGTCGCGGGGCGTGAGATGAGGGGGGATTTCGCGGCGGTGGCAAGGAAGATTTGAAAAGGCGAATGGGGGGTGGCGTGAGCGCTTTTCTAGAGGGAGGCAAATACCCGGCCTTGAAGGCGGGTCATATGTGGGCGGAGGTTTGTTTGGTCTTATTTCAGGCTGTGGTAGCCGGCTGTGGGTTGCGTAGCACCGTTGCAAATTTCCACAGACTTTTTGCGTTGTTTATTTCGCCACATTTTTTTAATGTACTTGCTCCCAACATCTGCGTTCCTGTGCTCTCGTAGTAGGCTTGCGAGTTTTCCGTCGAAATAGTTTGGTAGCTGCTTGTCGGGGTCGTGTGAGCGCTTGATAATGCGCTGCGGGCTTTGGCGGCGCTCCTGGGAATGAGGGAATCAATGCGACGGGAGTTTTCGGATGTGGGAGTTTGGTGGTTCTCGTCTTGTTGGAGTTTTCGTCGAAGAATGCTTTTATTTGGTATGTTTCAGGTGCTTTATGGCCCTGTCTATGTTCGTCTGATTTCCAAGTTGGGATTCGCTTATTAGTTTGTCATTTAGTCTCGTTTTGAGTTTTTCCAGTTTTGTTCGTAATATAGTTTTTGTTGTGTGTGGAGTCGGGAAATTTCTCTGTGCATGGGCGAAGAGAATAGGGGAGGTGATCGACGTGAGTCGTTGCAGAGGTTTGGGAGTTGTGATTTGGAGTGCGGGCGAGTGAAGTAGCAAAGTCTAGAATGTCGCCTTTTATTTGTCTAGGTGAATATGTCAGTTTGGAGGTGAGTGATGGAGGACGGAGAGAGATGACAAGTCGATTGCTTCTGTTTAAGTACTGACACAGGCGTTTCTCGCCGCTGAGTTTGGCCACCCGGCTGCCGCAATCCGTTATCTTATTAGGCGTTAAGATCGCTCGCTATTATTATATTTTCCCCCTAGCGTTAGCAGCGCTCGAGGTCAGCTTCCTCCAGTGGATGCGAGCCGTTTGTAGGCGGAGATTAGAGTGATGGTGCCTTTGCGGTGTTCCAATCTCAACTGAGAGTTGCTTCTATTTGCGACAAGAGGGGGTTTTTTACCAGGCAGCGTATGCGGATAGTTCGTCTTAATTGGTATTAATGTGCCACGCCGCGGTGGGGGCCTGAACGATTTTTGCCGGAGGACGTAAAAATTTGAAGAGAGAGAGCTATCGTGTTTGAAGAAGATGGGTTTCCTGAATTAGTATATGTCTGGGCGAATAATCTTTAATAAACTGGCGTGATTTGCAGGTTTTCTTTTTAGATCAGGCCCGTTAGATTCCAGGAGACAATTTGAGAAGGTGGCTGCGTTTGAATTCATTGGAATGCGGACGTGAGCAAGTGGGAAATAGCGCTATGGCTTTTGAAAGCATATTGCCGGGATGGCTTTAAGAAATTTCGATTGCCTTGCGTGTGGAGCTTAGGGATGGCGCGCGCACGTCTTACACCCTGCAGTAGCTGGCAGGAGTCTGTTGATTTCGCCCGAAGTGAGGAGAGAGATGGTCCGGTCTGGGCCGTGATTGGTCGGCGGCTACGGCGTCGGCGAATGCGGTCCGGGGTGGTGGGGGGGTCAGCGGGCCAATCCTGGCAGAGCGGGGAAGGGCTCCTGTTGTCGGACGTCGTGGGAGTGAGCTGTGGTGCTGTTTATCACTATGCTGTGCGGCGGGGGTTCAGGGCATTTGCGAGTCGCGCTCGGTCGGCGTGGTTCGCGTCTGGCGTGGCCGCTGAGTTGGCGTGCTCTGGCGGCCTTGTATTTATAAGTGCCTGGGCACTTGTGAATTGAAGCGACATGCCCGTCGCCACAGTTGGCGCATTTGGGTTCTCCGGTTTTTGGGCATTGGTCAAAGCAGTGCGGGCGCCGCAGTACAAACAAACTTCCCTCGCCTGCAGCCGTTATGTGAGTGCGGCCCCCAGAGCTGGCATCGCTTACAATGCGGAACTCTATGTCTGCCCCGATATTCCTCCAGCGAATGGCCTGGCTGAGTAGGACGGTGGTATTTTTTAATTGCGTTAATTTGTGTTTTGTTGAGTTCTACTAATGTAGAGACCCATGGATTCAAAATTTTTGGCGCCCGTCTCCGTGTACACGGCGGTTTCATCTCGCTTACGTGATTGAATTGTGACCCCTGTGATTCGAGTTCACTTTGATATCTTCAACGGGGGATT